GTTTATTTTTTTCTTTCTTAAAATTATTATTAACAGGCATTAGAAACTGAAAGTCCAATTCTTGGAATTTACAAAAAATATGTTTTTACATAGCTTTCATTTTCTCATTCATATAAAGCAGTGGTTTCGTTTGGTGGGTTCATATCAATTTGTTTTGAAATGTTATGAGCTCAGTGAACATGTTACTAGCTACAACCCAAACAAACTGCTAATTTTAGATCGGTTGGGGATGTAAATTCAGGTGATTGAATAAAGGTTAATACACATTTCATGAACTGCTGAACTAGAGCCAAATACTTGGAATATTCAAGAAATAGTTATTCTCTGGAAAGCTGCAGAAGAAAAACTGAATGGCTTCAGTAAAATTTTTTATCACAACATTCCTATTAATGATTTTCATGACTATGTAGAAAATGTTCTGAAAATCTTTCATAATCCTGTAATTCTTCAAAGTATACAAAAAGCAAAAACTATTATCAATATGCTTGCTATTTAGAACTTTCAAAGCAGAAAGAGGTTTTTCAAGAATAAATATTATATACTCAGATGAAAGAAGCAGTCTTACAGTGGAAAATGCAGCAAACTTGATTGATGACAATTAATCTTATTGCTCTCCCTTTAGTTTTATGAGATGCCACTCCTTTTGTTAAAACATAGCTTAGAAAAAATCACAGTGCTAATGACAACAGAGTGAAGCAAAATAAACTGAAGACAATGATGACAATCAAGTGGCTATTTGGAAATTTTTAAAATGAAAGATCATGAATAAAAGATTTTAAAGCAATTCTTTTAATTATTTTTCCTTTCAAAATGATAACATGCAATGTAATGCAGATTAATTTTGGTATTTTTGAATAAGTGCAAGAAAAATTTGCTTTATTCCTAAATTATATCTATATAATAAAGTATAGACTATAGAAAAATGAGGGAACCATTGCTGTTGAGACCTGTTGTTGAGAGAACCTATTCTTAAAATTTTTGAATCCCGCCATTGCATATACTGTGCTAAAATTATTGTATTATTTAGTTCCAAAAAGAGCTGAAAATACCCCAGAAAAGGCAATCTGAATTTTTGAAATTCTTACAGGAACCAAATATGTTTTCTTTTGAAAAAAACAGTTCAACTATTCTTTTCTGTTGGAACGAAGAATCAAAATCTAGCTGTATCTCATCTGATGATTTCTCTTGATGATAAATTGTCTGATTTTCCCACTATTTTAGCTTTTGGTCTAGTATATACTATATATATAGTTGCTTTAAAAAATTTTTCCATCTTCATGTTTTTGGCTTGCTTTCAGGAAAAACCATGTACAAAAATTCTCTTGTTATCTTCTTGTCTTTGTAGACTTTTTCACAAGAGTAAAAAGAAAACCAATTCATGTTTAGTACTCTGTAAATATATAAATATTCATCATCCTGAAAAACATGTGGGGCCAAGATGAAACAAAAACATATCTAATTCCCATTTTTAAGTGTAGATGGGATGGAGGAGGTGATCAACTGTTGTGGTTTTTCTTTCTTTTCCTTTCATTTCTTTATTATTCTTCTCCCTCCATCCAAATTGTAAAACAGGTGTTATTATTTTTATATAGAAATTGTCTGCAGATTAATTTTTGAATCAATTTTTTAATATCTTTGTAGCTAAACATTTTAAATAAATTTACTGATTAATTTACTTTATTTAATTTATTTATAGATCAAGTTTTTAAATACTAATTTTACTACAAAAATCTATTAACAATTAAACCAATTCTTAATACTTTGCATTAAAAAAATACAGTAATTTATTATTTTGGAGACACATTACTAAAAATTGTTTTGCAGAATCATATTCAGCAAGATTTGTTTAAAAATTTTACAACATATAGTAGGTTAAGGAATGGATTATTCTCATTCAAAATCTTTAATCATCTATACAGAAAAAAAAGCAAGTTGTGGTACTGCAGCTCAAATGATAGAAACTGTGTTTATTGCTTAATCCTACAATTTCATAAAATTAGGTAAAATTTTCTGGAAGTCCAATATGGATCCTCCACCATTTCTCCAAAATAGAGTTTAGAAAAGGTGAAGTCTCTTAAAAAAATCTCTTTGGGTTCAAGAAAGTTACTTTTCTAACTTATTGCTCATTTTTTTCTCTATGAATGATTAAAGATTTTCGATGAACATAATGTACTATTTAACCTGACATCTGTTGTAAAAAAACTTAAATTCAAATATTCAAAACATTAATGAAAAGGGCTCAGAGTAGATTGATTCTCTTTACTTTCCTTATTTTATCCATTCACCTTCATTATTGGGGTTGTTCAGCCCACCGGGATAAAAGGTAAAAAATCTTGTTCATATACTCCAGCAAAGATTACTTATTGTCTTATTTATTTAGTTATTTTATACTATAATATATAGATACATTTATTTTACTATATCACAAAATACTAACAATTACTAAATTTATATTTTATTTTAGAAACAAAAATTATAATTGAATCAACTAAATTTTAATTTTACTTTCAATTAGAAACTAATTATAGTGATAAAATGTTTTCACACGCTTTTTCTATATGTTGTTTTTTCTAAAAAGCTAGAAAAATAATGACCAAATTAATCAGATATGATTGATCCCTGTATCAATACATGTTAGCTAAGAATTACTCAAAAATAATGGATATCTGAAACTCTAAAATAAATTTTATTTTTTATAATTTTATATTTAAGTGTTGGCTGAAAATCTGATTAAGATACTCAGATGGAATGCAACCAAATGAAGTTTATTTTTCAACATAGTCCCCCTTGCAGTCCACACACTTCTTCCTTTGGTGTTGCAGTGCTTGGATATCCTGTTGGTCAAAAAAGTCATCAACAGCAGATATGATATCATCATTACTGTGATACTGGTTCCCAGTCAAGTGTTTTTTCATGTTGAGGAACAGATTATAGATGGGACCTAATCAGGAGATGGGAGTGTAATCAACCAGTTTAAAGCTACAGTCGCTTCATTTAACCTTCTAATTGCCTTTATCCACTGTTCCATGTGTCCTTGAGGATCTCTGGGTATGAACTTCTGAGTTCATATAAACCTGGTGTTTTCAAAAAATCATTTTACCAATGCTCATATTGCAATTTACTGCTGTTATCATTGCATGTCTTTACCAGAGTTCATATTGCAAACTTTGTTATTTGCTTTTCTCTGGCATTCCTTATTACTGGTTCCCATATTAGATCCAGTGACAGACCCAAAGAAGGTGAGTTTAATACCTGGTTAAGGCAGATGAGAACTTTCAGAGGGAAAATTAGCAGGAGATAACTAATAACTGACATCCATCAAAACATGGCATGTGGAACTAGAACAGTTTACCCCTTTTGATCAGTTTAAAGGGTTCAGTTCAAAATTCCAACCACCTGAAGAAGGCAGGAGCGTTTGTACGGCCATTGATGGTGTGGGCCAAATATGGCGACAAAGATGAATACAATAATCCCTAATGTAAATACAAGACACCTTTCATCAGTTTTCCTGGGAGTTTGTTCTTGATAGCCTTTCATATCTGCCTCAGCAAGTTGGCATAGTACCTTCCATTGATAGTGTGGCCATTTTGAAAGTCTATAAACATTTTGCATTCCAAAAAACTGAGGCTATCACTTTCTGTGCAGATTAAACAACCTTAGCCTTCTTTGGAGCAGGTGATGAGGCTTGTCTCTTTGTCTCTGGCTCAAAGTGATAAACTCAACACTCATCCTGGGTTATTTTCACAGAAACCAGCTGAATCTGCCTCAAACAATGTCAGATATTCCCATGATGTGACCAGCTGGTATGTTTTTGATCAGGTGTCAGAAGATGTACTCACTGAGCAGAAACCTTTGTCATGCTTTGTGAACAATATTCTCAACTCTCTCAGGAGATGTGCTAATAGCATTGGCTATTTGATTTATTGTTAATAATGTGTCATCCATCACCATGTGGTGAACATGATCAGTATTTTCTTTGATGGTGGCCATTGCAGGATGTCCAGATTTTGGTTCATCTTCAAAGCTCTCTCTTCTCTTCTTAAATTCTACTACCCACATTTGCACTGTTGATAATGCTAGAGCATCATCCCCTAATGTAGCAACCATGTCAGCATGAATGTCCTTAGGGGCTAAACCCTTTTTCTGAAGGTACTTGATAACACCACAATGCCAAATTTTGTCAGTTTTCAATAGACATCGCTACTAGTTACTTTTGAAGTCTTCTTTCAACAATTAGATGTCAGTTTACCTGGAAAGAAACAATGCAGTTATAAATCAAGAGTTGAAATTAATGCATGCAAGATTTCACAGCTCTAGCATCACTCCTTCATAGTCAGTCTATGAAGTTTTCAGTCAACCCTACTAGTTATACTTAAAATTTGATCTTTTCAAATTGCTATGCAAAGAATATTCATTGATATAACTATTTAAATTAATATTAACAACTAAAATCCTCAACATCAAAGAGTTTTAGTATATATGTATCTTTAACTGATCAATTTTACAAAATAAAAAATAGTATTTTCATAAAAGAGAACAAAACTATTTCTTAATTAAATTTTGGGATCTGTCATGGAATGAAAATTATTTTCAGGTTTCCTATAACTTAAGTTTTTTTTATTTAGTATTTATAAATTTTTCTCTTTCTCTATTTTTGCTGCTGTTTCTTCGTTAGAGTCTACTAAACAATTTAGTATCTTCTATGTCAATTTCACATACTGTATATGATTATGATGAATGACTAATAGATAATCTAAAAAAAATGTTACTGCATTTTTGCAACTGAAATCTTTTGAGTACATGTACTCAAATAAAAATGTTTAAGTAGTATTTATACTGCATATTTTTTCCATGTAAGCATTCATATTATTTCATGTTCATAAACAAAATATTTTACTGTCAGTTGGAATTTCTTTTGTTTCTTTTAAATACACTTAAATTCTTGTAAATAAGTTTTCTCCTTTAGATCACTTTGATGAATTTTCTGTTATTCTTTTCAGCTCAGCAAAGACTGGCTTTCAAATTTTACACGAAAGCCCATTTCGATGAATAAGGTTAGTAAAAGAAACCATCAAAGTTTTTTTTTATTTTATTTAATATATGATTAATTTTAATATAACAATATATAAATAATAAGTAGATACCTCTCAAAAAGTACCAAAAAAAATACGCATTACCTAATGTTTAAAATGAATTTTAAAAAATTAAAAATCTTTTTTGATGCTTTTATTTTAGTTTTAATTTCAAACTTAAATTTAATATTTCCAATAATCAAAATATTTTGCTGTATTTCAAAAATTGATTTAAAACTAATTTAAATTGACTGGAAGGAGTTTTTTTTTCTAAAATAGCAGATTAGCACTCTTTTTTAGTTGTTTTGTATCGCAATATAATTCTCTTTATTTAAAAATCTTCCAAAAATAAAATATACATATCTGAAACTTTGAGGAATATTAACTGATTTAGAGTGTAATTGATCTGATTTGAAACAATTATTATTTACTTTAAGTTTAAAATGATACAGAATACAATATTTTTAAACCAAACAGTAGTTGTATTTTTAACTGACAGTTGCCATGTTTACATGTTTGATAAGGTGATGACAGGTTTATTGTTGTCTTACAGAGACTTTATCTGTAAACTATAAGAAAATGATGTTAGCACCTTTTTCATATAATTTTTAGGTACTCAGTAATCTTAAAAATCTTGGAAAATATTCTCTGTAATCTAATTTTAAAACTGTTGACTTTAAATTTACTATAGTCATTGCTCTTATTTTCTGATAATGTTGTGTATGGTTGCCTATATTTTCAAAAATAGGCATGTTTATATACATAAAAAAAATTCAATTTCTTTTAAAAAAGTCCTGCTTTTAACTAATATAAATATGAGTGGCTGAAATTTTAGTTTCTTAAAATTTCATTAAATCAGATGTAAAAACAAAAAAATATTTTTATTAAAATTTTCTAAAAACATTTTTTTAAATAATTTAGTTAATTTGTGAATAAGTCCTGAAAGTTTAATTAAAATCCAACAATTATTTGTTTTTTGCAAGAATTTTTGAATCACTGTGTTTTTTACCAGAATAAAAGGTTGTAAAACAGCCATAGTAATCTTTGGCAGACTGCTGATGCAAGAAACAAGATTTTTAACCAAAATTTCAAATGTGCTAGAAAGGATTAAAAAATTTAATAAAATAATAAAAAAATACTTTTGTCTTCAGCCTTTACAACTCTGCACTAACTTCTGGTGGTGTAATGGATAGCAACTCGGATTGAGGAATTGAAGAGCCGAGTTCGAATTCCATTTCAGTCCATTACATTCACTTACGTGCTAATACCCTTGGGAAAGGTATGAATCCTCCTCTTCTTCCTCCAGCTATGGGTAAATAGCAGGACAGACTGGGTTCTATAGCCTTGGATGGCAACTGGTGTACTGCAGAAAGAAATGACAACCTACTGCGGGAAAAAATCTGCCTCGTCAGTCATGTATCGAAAGATATATGATCGCCTACGCGTGTATCACGCAAGGTACATAACTAACTGACTTTCGGAGTTGTATCCCTTGGATCCACATTATTATTATTATTATTACTAGCACTAACTTTTAGGATTTTAGAGATATTGTTATAAAATTTTCAGGGTATTTGCGTGAAAGGATGTAGAAAATGTAGACATATTTTTTTTAACATACATATAATAAATTTTGAGAAAAAAATAAAAAACATGAAAATTCAAAAAAAGTTTGTATTTTATTAAGAAGCTTACTTGTTAATTGTGTAGTTGACCAAACTATGATAGCATTCAAAGCAGCAGTAGTAGGGACACATGGGAACCTGACAGCACCGACACACATAGATAGTTTGATGCCTTGATGCCTCACCTTGCTGGAGCACACCACACAGGTTGGGCGCAGAGGGCTTTCCAGTTAAACCTATCAACAAAAACAATGCCAAAAATACTTTCATTTCTTCACAGCAAACGTTTTTCCAAGCTCTGATTTGCAAGTTGGGCATTAGCTGTGTCAGCCAATTTTGTTTTCATATAGTTTGCATTCCAATTAGTTTCCACTACTATTAATTGAATAACTTTGTCAGATAAAAAAAGATGAAAAACGTCTACCTCACTATCTTATCAACATTTGTAGGTCTAGGAGTATAGGAAAACTCTGGTAGCCTACAAGTGATCATATACTTGTGATGGTTTGAAAATTCCTCCTTCTTGGTTGGAATCACTTTCAATCTCTCTGTCACGCATATCACCAATATCTGCATGTGTAAATCCGAGAAATTCTTCTTTGTTGCTCTCACTGTTCATGAAAAGTTCCTCTATCAACATAACAGATTCATGTCTTGCCCTGGGGATCGAAAAATGAAAGTTTTTTAATAGATCTTATTCAAATTTGCTGATAAAACAACTGTTTCAATTGGAACAAAATGGCTGACATCCAAGCATTCCCAATTCATATCACAAGCTTAATGGTGTCATTTCTGTAGTAATAGGTTATTTTTAAAAATGTACTTTCCCTTTGAAACAAAGCACTGTCACTTGGCGAACATGTATGCCTGGAATAGAAAGAGTATTGCCAGCTGACATGTATGCTTGTAGAGTTGTAAAGGTTAATAATGATATAAACATTTTGACGATAAAACTTTGTTTTTATCAAGTTTGGGCCCTTTTTTCATCATGCTATGCTGTTTTTGCAATGAATTAATAAAAGTACCTAAATAATAAGTAAGGAAAATTAAGTATTTTATGTAAAAGCACTATGAAGAAGGTTATTATTCTCAATTATATTAATAATCATGTATTTCATCGTGACTTTAAAATCAAGTTTCATGTCAGTACTTGGTCTTTTACAATCCAAGTTCATGTGATTATGCAAATTCTTCCATAGTTAGAATTTTGGGTTTATAACATCACATGATCAAATATTATATAACTGCGTATCAACTTGGCGCTGCAGTGGTTTTGTCTATTTCATAGATATATCATAAGAATCATTTAATCTTGGGTGATTATAAACGCCACTTTTCAGCTCTAGATATTTTTGTTCTTGTGAAACTGCATTTATGGGAATAGTTATGAGTTTCAAGATTTTTGTAATGTTATCCTGTCTTATGTCTTAGTAATAAATTGAATATAGTTTTACTATTCTAAGTGCATACTTGATAAAAATATATGCTAGTACATATTCATACAGTTTTAAATGATTCAAATCATCTCAGTATGGTTCAACTAAGTAAAACTAAGTTTCTAACTTGACCCTCCAAATGATGGACATATCTCTTTGGAGCATATATGTGTGACCTTCCTATCATGGTTGGTGTCTGTCAAATCATAATCCATTTTCAAGTTTAGTCATCTTTCCAATATGTTGCATATGACTGAACTGTTGATTGCATTGGATTCTTCAACTATTTCAGGCAACAGCAGGTCATCATTAAATTCAACAGTATATATTTTTTGGGACACATCTCTTAAGTTGAAATCCCATCTCCATCAATTTCTTTCATCCAAAGAATCTTGACCATAAACACCATGAATATTTCATGTTGATGTTGCAGTATTATTGTCTTTTCTAAGCTTCACTATCATTTGCAACAACTTGGAAAGGTGGTTAAACTTGGAAAATGAATCTTTCATGATTTGACCTGTTAACCATAAACAATGGTGGATATTTACACTTTTTTTTCGAAATTCATGTTTCTATTTTTTTACAGATTGCTTGAGAGAAAAAGTATATTTTACAAAAAAATTTTTGATCAATTGTAAAGTTGTTGCCTTATGATGATGCACACTCTAAAACAGTAAAGATCATATATGAAGTGATTGAAAACCTTGTCTATTGAATAAATTCTACAGCTTACTTATTTTCTGGATCTAGTTTGATCTGATTACTACCTATTGCAGAGATGCATAAGCATCTTAATGGAATAGTTTTTAAAATGCAGAAAGAATTGGAAATTACCCTCTTTCAATTATTTTCCTCCAAGCCAAAAAATTGTATTATGAAGCTTGTAAGAAGGCTATTGATAATGATGGAATTTGAGGACAGCTTGTAGGTGCTGCCAATCAAATGCTCTGTGTACAAGATACCTATATTAATGAACAAATTCTAATTAAATATTTACTTAAACATTACTATTATGTGATGGCTTGGTATTTTTAATGCCAAATGCAATTGATACCTCAAACATTTTTTCTTAATTTTTTATTTTTCATTTTGTGATAATTGAAAGAAATGTTATTTTAATTTGATGTGTTAAAATCTATTTTCTTTCACTTGCAGATATCTTTAGTTATCTCAATTAATCATTTGCCACCAAATAAAGCCATCCAGAGAATCCCATCCAAAGTAAAGACTGGAACATTTGGTGTAGACATACAGAAAATTGCTCAGTAAGTTATGAATTGATTTTTGTTTTTTTTAATCTGATGTTTTTCTTTAGTCATTTGCATGTATTTGGAAGAAATAAATTTTGATTATATACCGTACATATGAAAACTAATGGGTACATAAATACATTGGACACTATTATAAGTGGAGGTAATATGCTGTCTAAGTAGTCCACCACTAGCAGTGGTTTACCTAATTTATGCCGCTGGCGAGTATTGTATTTTGTTGATGTTATAAAGATTACCATTTCATTTCCAACCTCTGTTTTGGTTATTCCTCATTCAGTAACCCTTTCTAGGTTACAACAGAGAATTAAAGAAAAACGTGTACACAAACACACTTACTTTTTATAATATCAGAAATGTTATAAACTTTCTTTATATTTTTCTTTTCTAAAAATGAAAGCTGATGAACACATTACTTAAATTATATTTTAGTTTTTGTTACTTTTTAGCCATCAAGACAGACTTTTTCCTGCTATTATATCTATATGTACTCAGGAGATTGAGAAACGAGGTAAGAAATAGCTATTATATGCTGATAATTCCTTATCTATCTATAATTTTCCTGTTACAATTGTAAATTAAATATTTAATTTACATTTTCATATTCAGTAGGAACACGTTTGTTGTTTTTAATATTCACTGAAAGTATTTTATAAGTTTTTTTTATATATTTGTTCATTTAAACAATAAATTAAACATTTATGGTGTTAATTGTTATTTGTTTATAATTGTTAATTGCTAATATATTCTAAGCAGAAACTGTAAAGCCTGCTGTTTTTTTCTTGTAATCTTGCTTAGAGATTGTTCAGATTTTATTGTATTTGGGATTAATTTTATTTGCTTTTTTCTCAGTGATTATATCTCTTTGAAAAATGTAATTAAGATGTGCTATCCATTTAAATTGTTGCTGCTGTTGAAAGTTTTCAAGTGAGGCGATTTTTGTTATTTCATAAATTCTTTGCTTGGGATTCTTGTAGCATCAGTCTATAAGAGCTGAAGTATAGACTTTAAGAGATTTCAATTGTTGCTGTGTACTTTTAGTTGAAAAGTTTATTTCCTAAAAAATCTCAACCTATTACTTTTTGTTATAACAACATCAATAATGTTGATTATTATGATGATGGTAAGCACTTCTGGTCCCACTTGGGAATGCTGGCAGCAAAACTGATTCAATGGAAGTTTGAATGAAGTTAAGTTTACCACATCTTGTGTTGCTTTGACTTTTCATCAGCCAGTCTAATATAACTTATCTTTCCACCCTAAGCCCAGTCAGAGAGGGATTCTTTCTAAAATTATTTTCTAGAAGAACAGGACCTAATTTAAAAAAAAAAAAAAATTATTCAAATTAACTGCATCAAAACTTTGATTTTACAATCCGGGAATTGGCAGAAATGGTTGCAGAGATTTCAATGCTTTTGAATGCATCAAAACTCTGGGAAGAAGATAACAAAACTTAAGTCAGTACATTAATATATGGGAAGTGGAGTCAAAAATATATTCTGGACATTTTCTTTCTCATGATGAGAAAACACAAATGTGTACAATTTATTTTTCATGCTTAAAAGAAATATAATTCATGAAAATGCAAAATTTTATCTTAGAGTTCAGTTGCCAGGAGAACCAATGGAAACCTTTATTTGCGTATTGCATAAATAAGCAGAAGCATGTGAGCTTCCAAAGAAAAATGATCAAATCAGGGACCATCTTGTGATAGAACTGCAGAATAAGGACCTATGTGAAAGATTACAATTTGAAACTTGAGAAAGATACAGAGATGGCCAGAAACAGTAAACAAATAAAATTTTAGTTAATTTGCAGTGTAACACCCGCACTAATTTTGCATTAAAAATTTCCAAAATAGTTACGTTTATGTGTAATTGTGTATGCTTCATTCGAATCTGGCTTGATAAATTTGATAAAATCTACTGTTTTGGAGTTATTGACAGTGAAATTTGGGATTCAATCACATTGTTGGTAGCAGGCATTACTGGCATTGTTTGCATACATTCGCTGCAGAAAGCTAAACGTGGAAGCTAAAGATTGGAACTGATCTTTCTTGTCTAAATTTGTGTCAATTACTGTGCACAAGAACTATTTATATAGACACACACAGTTTGCGCAATGATACCTACACTGATAGCTATTTTGCAGTGAATGTATGCAAACAACGCCAGTAATGGCTGTTTGCGACGTGAATAAATCCAGACATTCACTGTCCATAACTTCAAAATGGTAGATTTTATCAAATTTATCAAGCCAGATTTGAATGGAATATGTACAATTACATTATAAATGTAAGTATTCTGAAAATTTTTAATGTGAACTGAGCGTGGGTGTTGCACTGCAAATTAACCAAAATCTTAAATGGAAGAAATACACCAGGGAAACCTACAAGATACAAAATTAAGAAGAAAATATGGAAACAGCAACCACAACTGCAGTAGATGTAACAAAAAACAATTTTAAAAACTATACAGTGAAAGGGAAACACTTTAAGAAATGTGGGAAAATGAATAATTTCACTGTAGCCTGCAGAACTAAAATTAATATGACACAGACAGTAAATGAAGAAAAGAAATATTTCCTAGGAGAGCTAGAAATGGATTTAAATGACCAGTGGTATAAAAATTTTAAAATTTATAAAAAAGAGTGAGGTTTAAAATCAGCACAGAGCCAACATAAATATTATCTCAACTGAAACTTACAAAAATCTGAGAGAAAAGCCATTATTAAAACTAGTAAATGGCAACTTCACAAGTCCTGGAGGAATAGTCTAGTGCATTGGAAAATTGAATACTGCTACAGGAGAAGGTAAGGACATATATTATTTGGAGATATGTGAGTAAATGTGTAAAGGGAGAGAAATTATTCTCTCAGCAAACAGCTGTAAAAATGAATTTAGTGAAATGTTTAGACAAAATAGAACAGGTAATTTAACACTGGAGGGTTCACTGAATGGCGGTTCAATTAAAATAGTTCTGAAAAAAAGATGCTGTGTAACAACAGCTAGGAGAGTTCCAATCCTTACTTTACCAAAGGTAAAGCAGGAATTTAATAGACTGGAAAACAAGGGAATTATTGAAAAGGTTACAGAAGCAACTGATTGGTGTATGCCTATAGTACTCATAATAAAAAGAAAAGTTCAAATTTGTGCAAATTTGAAGAAGCAGGATCTTGCAGTGAACAGAGAATATTACATGTTACCAAATTTAGATATTTTGCCTAAACTAAATGGAGTGAAATTTTAATCTAAATTGGATGCTACCAGCAGATTCTACCAAATTCTGTTAAGTAAAGAAAGCTATCTACTCATATCTTTCATTACTCCTTTTGGGAGATATTGCTTCAAAAGATTATCTTTTGGTATGACATCAGCTCTGGAAATATTTCAATATAACTATTGATGGAATAGTTGAAAAAAGACACTATTTATTTGAGATTACCCACAAGAGAATTCTTTTAAACGAGTAAAGGAATTACCAACTTAAGCACCAATTCTATCATACTATAATCCAAACAGACCTACAGTAGTTAGTGCTGACGCTAATATTTATGGTTTCAGGAAACAGCAATTTAAAAATAATAGCATTTACCTTGCACACACTCAGTAGCACTGAGAGGAAATATGTGAAAATTGAGAAAGAGTGAGAAGTTTGACAGATATGTTACGGAATTCAAATCCTCTAAACTGTTAATGGACCAGAAAGCACTTGTACTGTTAATAAATACACATGATCTGTACAATACCCCATTATGATATCAAAGACTTCTGATGAGATAGAGAAGATATAACCCAGTTGTAGAACATGTTCCAGGGAAGGTACTAGTTGTACCTGACACTTATCAAGGAGTCCTGTATTTGACACTGATAGTAATACCAGCAAAGATGTTGGAGTATACACAGACTGTGTGGCAAGAACCAGACCAGCATCAAATAAGAAATTAAATGAAATAAAAATAGCTACTAAACAGGACACAGTATTACAGGAAATAATACATCTCACATTAAATGGATGGACACTCAAAGAAGGAAGAATAAAAGAACTCATAAAGCCATATTTTTCAAGGTGAAATTAATTGTCAGTTCATGACAATTTACTATGGTTTCAAGACAGAATTGTCATACCTGAAAAACTTTGACTGGAAATAATTAAGGGCACTTCATAATGGTCACCTGGGACTAAATAAACAATGAGAGAGAGCCAAAGAATCAGTGTGTTGACTGAGTTTGTTTTAGATACTCTGAGTATCTAAAAATATGCTCGTTTTGTAACATTCACTGTCCAACAAATAAAAAAGAAAAATTAAATGTAACATCACTTCCTCAAGGTCCATGGCAAAAATTGGTACAGATATTTTCACTCACCAAGGACACCAACATACTGTAGCATTAGATTATTTCACAAGATATATAGAAATAGCAAATCTCAATTCAATGACAAGTAATTACTTGTCATTGAATTGAGATTTGCTATTTCTATATATTGAAGTTGAACATTTTCTTCTCATGTTGGGGAATTCCTATTGAACTTGTTAGTAATAGTGGGAAACAATTCACAATTCACAAGTTAAGCTTTGAAAGATTTTACAGACAGTTATGGATTTAAGCACATAACATAAAGTCCACATTTTCCTCAAGCGAGAAGCAGAAAGCACTATTAAAATAGCTAAGAGAATTGTTTGAAACAATCCAACACATTTCAACCATTAAATGGCATACTGGAGTATGCCAATTCAATCCACAGGAGTCAGTTCTGCTGAATAGGAAACATATTTCATTTTCACATTTTGGAAATATACTTTTGAGAAAGAAATCAGTTAGTGATAATTACAAGGATCTTTAAACAAAAATAATACAAGAGAAAGTACTGTAAAAACTTGGAGTGGATAAACCATACAAACTCTAAAATATTGGTTTGATTTTACAAATAAGTTATCACCCTTTGACTGTAACCAAAACAAACTTTGATTTGTAATTATTTATTTTGTAATTTGGAAAAGTTAGAAATAAATTAATAAAGAAAATAAATTACCTTAGGAAGAGGTTATGTTACAATAAATAATTTTGATTATTATGATGAATGTAAGCTAGGGAAGTAGGAAATACTGGGTGCATTATCTAGCAGGAGTTTGAAGAAAGTTAAGTTTACCACATCTCATGTTATCTTTGTGTTGCTTCAACTTTTCAGCAGCCAGTCTCATATAATTTATCTTTTCATCCTAAGGCCAGTGGAACGCTTTTTAATTTGGAAGTGTGTTAAGAAACCTATTAACAAGAGATATGATGCCACTTCTAAAGGTTTAGTGTTATATTAATAATTCTAAAGGTTTAGTGTTATATTAATAATTCTTCATTTTTGATATCTAGAAAATTTTATGCTACCAAACATTCAGTCAGTAGTTACTATAATTGTAACACATGGTTGGACTTGAATAATTTTCTTAGAATAATAGGATCTAGGCAGTGTAGTATCACTGAAAGACCATGAAAAAAATACATCTTCTAAAATCAAATCTGATAGTGTCATTGCTCAAACACTTTCTTACAAATTTCATAAATTTCAAATTTTATCAAATTTCATAACATGCATAAACAGTAAATAAAAATATATTAACATATTAAATTCATTATTTCTAGTAACTGCAATCATTCAAGTTAACTATTGATAGTAAAATATGCAAACATGAAATTAACATTTCCTTTTCATTTTGTAATATTCACAAACATATTTTTGAAATTTTCAAGATGAAATACTTCCACTAGCTACCAGGTATTTTACAAATATACTAGTTGTCTAAAAATTATATCAGTATATTTTACTGTTGATAGATCTGAGTATTTATGGTAATATGTTGCCACATATAAAATGCTATGAAGAACATGATCAACTGAGTTAAACTAATTTCTTTTTGATACATTATTTTATTAAGAATTTATCTATATAAAACAAATTCTTATAAATAATAGTTTCCCAAATCAAATCAGTGACAAGTAGATAAAATTAGCCTTAAATGATTCAATAACAAAATAACACTAGAAACAATTCTGATATAAACAAAAATAATAACATTAACTTATCCTGTTGTAACTGATAACAATAACATGATAATGAAGGTCAAAACTGCTAAAATAAAATATTATGAAATTTGGGTAGCCTCTCTGTAGTTAGATCTCTAAGTGCATCTGCACACATAACAAATGGAAAAATGTAATAAAAAGTTGACTATACACACCTTATCAGTCAAATTCACTTAAATATGCATGAAAAGATATATATGATCTCTTACTTGAATGTTTCTAATCTTATCTGTTATCACAAGGAATTTTTATAGTGGTCATTCTTCATAGTTTTTAAATATGACTTCATTGTAATATATGTACATCTTAATAATTGCATGAATCTTAGTGAATTTGTCGAAATCAAATCATAAGATGAATTAAAAGTTTGTATTTTCATAATGTTTCTAAAATATTTTACTGCAAGTAAATGATACTATAGCAATTTCTTAGCCTTCTCTGTTCATAAAATTTGGAAATAACCATTTAACTGTTCATAGCAAAAATGAAAAGCTGATGAAGTATTGGTTTAATGTAGGAAAGCTGGTTTCAGTTCTTGATACATGTAACAAAATTATTTTTGATATCCAGAAATCTATTTAAAAACAAAAACAAATAAACTAAAAACAATTTGCTTTTTTTAGACCTAGTTCAAGAAAATTTATCTATGATGATATTGATGATGTTAAATGTGTATAAATATATATTTATATTTGTATTTATATAGGTTTACATGAAGTTGGCATTTACCGGGTATCTGGAGGACAAAGTGATGTTAAAAGGTTGAAGCTGGCTTTTCAGAAAAGTAAGTTTTTATGACATCTATCAGTATTATAATAAGATTAAACAAACAGTAACAAAAAAGTATAATATTCTAAGTTTCCTGATGAAAAACTATAGTTACAATAAAACACATTTTGCTCCAACATTAAATGGAAATGAATAAAAAATGATAATAATGAAACTGATGATTTAAATTCATAAAATGTCAGTTAGATAGGGTGTACATTTATATGGTATACCACTGTTCTTGAATTGAGAGCAGCAGAAAAGTCTGGTACCAGAATGATTGGGCAGCCTCTTCAATTTAGCACTGCACCCATTTACATGAATGAGAAGGTTAGAAAAGGTGTGTCAAACAAATGGGGACATCAATAAAGGAACTAATCACAAGAATATCATCACTGAAAGCTAAGAAGATGTTGGATCTTAAGGCCAGAGTCTATCAAGAGTGGTTTGTTGAAAAAAAAAACAGATCAATTCAAGTAGTTTTGATTGCAAAAAACAATGCCTATGCAGAGTACAAAACAACTCATTGTTTGTTTCCAAGAGGGATAAGTTCAAGAAATTCTTGGCAGAAGTACAGTAGAAACTGCAAGATGCAGGATAAGGATTGGCAAAACAAAGTTGGGGAAGTTCAAGGTAATGCTGTCTCACAATACCATGCTTTTCTCTCTCTACAAGAACATTCAATATAAAGTAGACAGTGGCATCTTACTTTTTTCAATTGCCAGAATGATCTTAGCAGGAGACATTCTCAACAGACATATCACTATCTCAGAGTGAAACCTCTCAGAGAAACAATGTGACTTCAGACCAGGCAGAAATACCTTAGATATGATATTACAATAAGGCAACTGCAAGAAAATTACATTGAACAAAACATGCATCTCTACCCTGTATTCTTTATCTATATTTGATATTGTCTGGCTTCCTTTTTGACCTTTGTCATCTTTATTTCAACACAAACACTCTTCAATATCCTCTCCAGGAGGCCTTCTTTGCTAATGATTCTGCCCTCATTGTCCATGAGGAATATGAACTGCAGTTGATGCTTGACTGATTCTACATGGCTTCAAAATTGTTTGATTTGACAATTAGTCTTGGCAAAGCTGAACTGCTTTATCAACATGCACCCCCTGTACCAGCTATCACCATAGATTGCATCCAGCTTGAAAACATTAATGCCTTCAAATTCATGGCTAGCACAATCTCCCAGGATGGTTCTCTGGACAAATAAATTGACAAAGCAAGCAAGGCATGGTGGCAGTTCTAACAGAATGTTCCACCAACACAACATACATTGGTCAATGAAACTAAAAGCAAAGCACAACACAACAATCCTCGTTTCTCTCCTCTACGGATACCAAACATAGACCTTGTCCCACAGACACAGTAAGTAATTGGAAAAGATCCATATGTGGGTTATTTCTTCGATACTTGGAATCATGTCGCATTAACAAACTTGAAATTTTGAATCATGCTGACTTGAATCAAGGCATGGTTGATGGCCATGTCATTCTCATGGAGCAACATTCCCAGATGTCTGTTGTGCTATGTGATAGAAGACATCAAGGCCGACCAAAGAAATGGTACAAAAAAGCAATCAAGTCCAATCTTCATTAGTTCAAGATCAGAGCTAGAAGAGTGTGCTGACAGCTGATCACATTAACATTTCATTGTCTATGAAATGTCTGCCTACTTTGAAGAAACCCAGTGTCAAAACTCATTGCTGAAAGAGGACAGCAACCTTGTGGAATTTTGGCATTGGTTGAAGGACATCCATGATGATAGCATGTCAACTTACATACAGTAAAACAATGACCTCCTTCAAGTTTGTTCAAACTTACTACAATAACACATATATACTTGCCAAACTGAAATTCTTTAAATATTACAACTGGCTGAATTGGCTATTGAGATAGATGACCACAAATTTCTGGTCTTTTCATCTTTTATTTTGTATGACATGACAGTTTTTAAATTGTATAACTGAAAAAAAATCTATTAAAGCTGTCATTGGTTTTGGTTTCATTTTAAACCTTTTGAGTAGTCCTTGTCTCTTGTTCATCTCTACTGTAAAAAGTTAAAATATTACTTTTTAAAAATTTAATAATAAAAAATATACCTCTTCTGAAAATTTATATATTATTACATTCCATAATGTAGAACAAGACGCCAAAAAGCTGTGAGTAGTTAAATATCATTTAAAAAAAAAGCAATTTTTAGGTCACCAAGTTGAAATAGATTGATTGGCGGCTGGTATTATTCAACAGTTTGATAATTAGTTCAAGACATATAAAACCAAAAAGAATAACAGGACAGTTTAATGGAAAATTGTACCTGAAAAGCTCTTATTTTTATTTTTTTTTATAGAAAATTCAATACATTTCAATGAAAGATTTTGTGGCCATATTTTGCCATTTGTTTATCTTTTGGCAGCTATTTTGAATTGCCATCATTTGTATAAAAAGTAATACAAAATATCATTCCTGAAGAAAGGTACTTTTTGTTATACAAAAGAAAATAGAAAAGTAATCATTGGATCTTATTAATGAGATATCAGGAATATCTTGTAAACAAGAAAATAAGTAGGCTTCTAGGAAAATTCAGTTCAATTTGTTATTGCTAATATTATGTAATTTTATAGAAATTATTCAAAAATTTTACTTAAAAACACAAGATTTATCAGAAGTTCAGCAATTTATGTAAACTGGATATAAAATAAATGGATCTGACTAAATTGTGTTTCATCTAGGTCAGGAATGTCTAACCCATGGGCTGCGCTGTGGCCCACTGCACCCTAAAATGTTTAGGTATATTTTCATTTACTTTAGTAATGTATGTAGAAAATATTCTCAGATTGTGCTAATAGGCTCACTTCCACATTGCACTAAAAGGGAAAGGGAGCAAAGGCCTTTGCTGAGACACACTGGCTGGTGTATGGGGCAAGAGCCAGAGTTGAATAAAAATTATTTAGCTTCTGTTTTTTTTGGCTCTGGGTTATGTAGTATAGTCCTTGGACTCCTGCTTGAACCCACCATACTAAACCAATCTTGTGTCATATTTGCTGTTAATGGGGCAGTGAATAAATAAAAGGATACACTTTGATGTCATAGTGATGTAATTGGCGATAATTTTGAACTAACCAATGAAAGATTTTGTGGCCGTGGTCTGTCATTTTGATTCTTTCAGTTTCAAAAATTTTACAGTTTATGAGTTATTTCTTAACAATTTTTACAATGTTAAGGGATAGTGATTTTGAACCCATGCAGAGAGATTCAGAAAAAGTAGTATCAGTGTTCAGTTATGCTGTTAGTGATAAAGAATGGGAACCTTTAATCGGGTGGATGAAAAAAACTCATTTTCTCTCTTTTTAAGTGGGTCAGGCATTTTTAGTGACGTGAGACTAGGCCTAATGGTAAGTAGAAGGGGCTAATTTAAATTTATTCTTTATTTCTTTCTAATTTCAGGTATATAATTCAAACATAGGTCTATCTATATATTTTTTTTGCTAATGTAATAATTCAAATATTCAAATAATTAAGTTATCTTTAAATTTATAATTTTAATAACCCAGCATTTGGTCATGTCATCTAATACAAAAAAAAAGAAAAATAACAGAAGAAAAGAGAAAATTTAATATTCTATGGACAGAAAAATATTTCTTAATTTCAATTAAGAAATATTTTTCTGTCCATGCAGTAATATTATCTGCCTCATTTGTCATGATAAAATTGCTGTGTGCAAGGAATGTAATATTAAACACCACTATGCTGTCAAGCATAAGTTGGAATATAATAAATGAAGAAAGACAAAAAATGAAAATAGATGAATTAAAGAAACAGTTTAGTTCTCAACAAAACATTCTTCAAAAATCTGTTGTTAAAACTGATACATGTACAAAAGTTAGTGATTTGATAGCTGAAAAACTGGCTCAGAAGGGCAAGCCACTGATAGATGGTGAATTAATAAAAGAATATATTGTAATTGCTTTTAATGAATATTGTCCCAAGAAAGTGAACTTATTCAATGAAACAAGTCTTTTACATCAGACAACTGGTAGAAGAATTGATGACATACCTGACAGTATTGCGGACCTCATTATCTAAATGTGTTTATTACAGTTTAGCATTGGCTGAAAGTACCGATCAAAGTGACACTGTGCAGTTAGTTATTTCCATCAGAGGAACTGATGTCAATTTTAATATAATTGAAGAAATGTTGAAGTTACACCACCACTAACCTCATTTGTCGTTGCCCATCTTCATTGTATGTATATCTTTGAATTTCACCCCTAATTCTATTCTCTCCTTTTTTTTTCTAATTGTTGGTACCATTTCTTGATGAAATGACTTTCATTTTACCATTTTTTTTTCGTTTTTTATTTTTTATTATTAATGGAAGGAAATTTAGTTTTCCCCCTTTTTGAAAACTTTGAATATTAATTCTTTGAATTTTTATTTTTTCTCTCTCTCCTAACTCATGCAAATGGATGTCATAGGAATCCCAGGTCACAGATGTGGAGTGTTCTTATTCAACAAGTGCATGCTGACACTTAAACTAAGTTGAAACTTTATATTTAGGTTTCAACTCTGTGTGCCATGTACATTGTTCATGGACTCCTTGTATTCTCCTTGTTTCTGTCTGTTTCTTTGTTTTTTTTGTGTGCATTTAATAGGAGTAGATAGGCTTACCTATTTCCTGGTCAATACTCCTTCCCTTTCTCTTGAACAGGTATAGATATATATTGTTTACTGTTTAGGAAGGGGTTCCTGGATCTTTTCTTTTTCTCTGGCCTCCATAATATTACTGTTGTGAATCTTTTGTGACGTGTATGGTCCGTGGCAACGTCTCTTCATACTGAGGATACTGGGTTGACAGTTCTCTGGTTGCTATTCCTGACTGGTAGTTAGAAGCATCTTGTGTAGCATCTTGAGCATAATATCAGGGTGTTTGTAGTGCCATGTTATGCATGGAAGGGTGTCCCTGCACATACCTTCAGTGGGCAACCTGAGGCCACTTTATATTGCAGTCTGCACTAGCTCCTTTTTGTCCATGTCACATATGATAACCTTCTGCTACTATTACCTTAGACCTTTTCACTACCAACATGACCCAAAATGACCTTAAACCATCATAAATATAAACCTAAATTAGCTCTAAAAAATTGCCTAAAACTTTCAACTTTTCCTTTTCCAACTTCCCTGGCATTCAATCCAACTCCTGCAGTGTTGAATTGTTCCTCTTTAAAAAGTCTCCTGATATACTAGCGCTCTGTGAGACTAACCTTAACTCATCAATCCCCCTCCTCTGACGCTGACGACACTACTATTTACTCCTGCCTTAACAGTAGATATGGCATCATTGACAAAACTAACCTGGCTGTAGGCCTCAAGAAGGACCTCCAATCTGTGGTTGAATTGGGGCAGGAAATGGCTTGTAAACTTTAATGCCTCTAAAATGAAACTGCTCTCAGTAACCCACCATAGAGGACTCTCCCTGCTTGATACCCAACTTCACGAGAGTGCCTCTCTGCATCTGCTTGGTCTCACACTGTCCACTGACCTGAAGTGGAACAGCTACATTGAATCTATAGCTTCATCTACCACAAGGAAAGTTGGTTTTCTGTGTTGTGCCAGAAGGTTTTTCTTGCCTGAGTCCCTCCTGCAAATCTGCAAATCAACCATTTGTCCTTGCATGGAATACTGCTGCCATATATAGTCTGGTGCTCCCGCTGTTCATCAAGGTCCTAGATAAAATCCAGAGACAGATATGCAATATGATTGATCCTGATCCTCTGCAGTGTCTATCTCACAGACATGCTGTGGCTTCCCTCTGTCTTTTCTACAAGTTCTTTCATGGCAACTGCTCTGATGAGCTACTTTCACTGGTTCCCCAACTGCGTGAATTTAAGTGTGCTGCTAGGTTAGCATCTTGGTTCCACCCTTTCACTGTTGAAATGACTAAATGTACCCATCACTTCTACTCCAACAGCTTCTTATCTCGCACCTCCTGTTAGTGGTATTTACTTGACTCCCACGGGGTCAGGATGTGACACAAGGTCGGTTTAACGTGGGAGACCCGAGCGTTTCCACTCAAGGGCCATTGGTCCAAAACTGGTCATAGCATGTCCAAGCTGGTCAGAGCTTAGTCAAATCTGGTCCAGTCCGGAGCTGGTCCAAAATAGTCGTAGCCGTGATCGAATCTCAGCCAAAGGCCGAGAAACGATCCTTATTTGTCAAACAGGCGAGATTTTTGCCTAACCTCCTGTTAGTGGAACTCCCTTCCTATCATTTGCTTCTCTGATAGCTATAATCTTCAAATATTCAAATGTAATGTCAATTGACATCTTCTGATACCTTGACCTTGATCCCTGTCCTCCTCTTTATCCTTTTCCCAAACACACCTCTTTACTCTTACTCTCACTCTCTTGCATTCTATTGGCACTCCCTGGGGTGATTTGCTTAAAAAAAATATGAAGGGTACATACAGGAACTGGCAGGGACATACTTCAGCACATTAATTTATTAATTGAAAAGTTCAATATTGATAGAAATAAAAATTATTCGATTGCAACTAGTGGTGCTCCTGCATCAATTGGTAAAAATAATGGATTTATTACTTTATTCAAAGTATCAGTTGATCATGATATACTCAACTACCATTGCTTGATTCATTAACAGCAATTATATGCTCAAAAGTTAAATATGAAAGATAGTGAAAGTTGTGAATTGTATCAGGTCTTGAACCATCATGAGTTCAAAAAAATACTTGGTAGAAATTGGCAGTGAGTATGAAGATATTATTTATTTCTTAAAAATCAGATGCAGCAACTTTGAAAAGAATTCAATTACTGTTACTTGAAATAAAAGTTCATGCAAAGCAAGAAACAAAATGTAGATTATTTTTAGAAAACAAAGAATGGTTGAATGATCTTTCCTTCTTAGTAGATATTACTAAAATGTTGTTTAAACTTAATTTGCATTTACAAGGAAAAACAAATTATGTTGCTCAATGTTTGAGTGAATAATAGGTTTTACTAAGAAGTTACAATTTTTGATAACACAATTGAAAGCTGGTGAAATTATGCATTTTCAGAGTTTATTGAAAAGAAAAGAAGAATTTTCTGTGAACTTTGAAAAATATAGTAAATTATGGGAAGTTTTGTTAAGATTTTAGAACCAGATTTTCTGACCTCAGAAAAATAGAAACTGAATTGTTTAGTGTCCATTTTGATTTAATTATGTGGAAACACCAACCGAATACCAGTGAGAACTCAGTAAATTTCAAAGCAGGAAATCTTAGAAATCTTATTATAGAGAATATTTCCTTTTTGAATTTTATAAAGAAGTTCATTCTTTCAATGAATTTGATGAAATTGTCAATTTATCTAGAAAACTGTTATGCATATGGGGTAGTACATTCTGCTGTGAACAATTCTTTTTGTGCATGAAAAACATCAAAACTGCTGAAAGAAATAGGTTGAGTGATTCTCATTTAACTAACATTTTTAGAATAAAGACTAGTACCATAAAAACAGATATTGACAATATTATTAAAGGAAAACAACATTGAATTTATTTTATTTTGTGTATGTATAATTTCCTTTTTTACTGTCAGTAATACAATAATTTTTGTAATTATATATATTTGTTATTAAAATTTGATATTCACAATGTTTTGAACTTTTAAAAAGCATGTTTATATATAGTACTTTTGTGGCCCGGTGAATATACCTAAATTTCTTATTTGGCCTATTAGGAAAAAAGCTTAGACAAACATAGATGGTATAAATATTTTAAGCTTATTGAAATTCTAGAATAGGATCTCTTGAAGGTTCAGAAAGTTGTACAAATTATTATACATAAAGGATAGGAAATCTACTCATTTGTGGTTGCAAAACTTTATATAAAATTCTCATGTATATGTAGATAAGAAATTATTGGTTCTATCTATTCTATTAAAATATTGGTAATTTTAAAATTAAAATAGTAAAATCATCTAACAATAATAGCTGAAGAATTCATTAAGTAATATTAAACATTTTATAGTGTTGAATGTTTATAAATTTAAATTGAAATTCATGAGTACTTTTCCAGATACAATGAAAGCTCGTAAAATGATTGCGGATCCTGATTTTAATATACATGCTGTTGCTGCTGTTTTAAAACTTTTTTTTCGAGAACTTCCTGAGCCACTTTTTACCAATGCTTTACACAACAAATTTCTTACAGTAAATGGTAAGTTTTGAATTTATATTACTACTGCTCAAATTAGTAGAATTTTTTTCAACATGACATCAGTGTTCTACTGAATGTATTCTACTATTTTTATTATAATTTTTCATAATTGTATATAATTTTATACAGTGCATATTATATACATATAGAAAATAAATAACTATTAATTTTTTAAAAATATAATGCTGATTAAAAATAAATATATAAAGAATAAATACATGTTGTGCCTGGTATTTGGGAACATAAATGGAATCTGTATCTGTGGAATCAATAATGGAACCTAATGCAATACCAAATATTAACATTATCAGTTCTGTCAGATGTATTACATGGCAGCTGGAAATGAAAAAAACATGCCATGCTTGTGTTACTAGACACTAACCACAGTAACTTGGAAATAGCCAATTTATTGAAAGTGGCCAGGTCCTTTATATTCAAAAGCAAGAAGAAGCTGAAGGGGGATATTATCAAAGGAATAAGTTCTGAGTAGCCAGAATCAGAAGGTGAACATCTCTGTGGGTACCTCCATGGGATTTGTACAGACCCCATGGAGGTACTTGCAATGGGGACCTTCTTCCTACAGGACTTCATTGAGATGCTACACTCTGTGGTCCTGTGAGTGGCTATGTGTGTTGCAGCAAGATTTTCTCTGACATGGTCCAGGTAACCTAAGAATGGATGGCTGAGATTTTTTACACTCATGATGATCCCCAGCTGCCTTTCTCTCCTGATTTGAATCCCCTTGACTATTATGTCTGGGAGCAATGTTGAGAGTGAGATCAACTAGTGATCCTCAAATACCAAGGACATATTCAAGCCAACCATTGTGGACATGATGGCCAATAAGAAGAATACAGGCATGCAGTTGTTTTGAAGCTAATTGAAGATTGAATAATCTTTTTTCTTGTTTTTCAAAGTTCAACATGTGTAATTTTTTAAAAAAATATACTGATTTTTTTTATATTGAATATCTTTGTTTTCAATTAGCTGACACAGTTAATTGGTGAAAATATTTATTCATACTCAAGGCATTATTTAGTTTTTCCAGAAGAGAACTGGTTTACTCAATCAAATATACATTTTTGTGTTAATACTGATGATAAACCTCTTCAAATTCAAAGCATCATCATCATTCTATCTATTACAATAATAATGCCAAAATTTAGGCCAACATATTTGCTTCTTTTCACCTGCCATTTTTTGTCTTCTTATTCAAATTCCTAATAATATATTAAACTTGAGATTGGAGAAAGAATATTACTAAATCATTAAAATCATTTTGTATTAAAAAAAATTAATTTTGAAATAAACTGTTTTACAGATATATATGATGCAGAAATAAAGAAGAAAAAAGTGATTATGTTAATTCATTCTTTACCAGATGTGAATTATCACACGCTTATTCATCTTCTACATCATCTTCAAAGGTATGCAAAATTCTTAACATTTTAATATATTAACATCATATATAAAATAAGATTTTGATTAAACTAGAAACTAAGTTTTTTCATTTTTCTCTATAGATGCATTTTGAAAAGATCTTGTTTTAAGCTAATGCATTATTAAAGTTTATCGAAGAAAAGAAATAGATGTGCATGTAGCATAACTGTTATTGGTGCAAAAAGGAGAATCAGCAAGCTCACCTCATTCTGTTGTGTTCAATGCAAATAACCTTGGGAAAGGTGTTGAATCCATCTTTTCTCCTGCCTCCTATCAACTATAGGCAAAATAATAGAGTAGACTAGGTTCTCAAGCCTTGAGTGGCAATTAGTCTAGAAGAACAATTCTGAATTCAAAACTGTAGAGAAGGCAATGAGAAACTACTGCACTATTTTTTCCAAGAAGACATGGTAATTCACATCTAATAAAGCAACAGGACAAGTTGAGAGCCAGGATTGCCTAAGCACTGAAAAGACATTGCATTAAAAAATTCTTTTAATTAAATTAATATCAAATGGTTGTTTTAGCAATGCCTGCAAAAAATGGTGTGTCAAAAGGATGTTTTTTCTATAAATTTTTCTTTATATTTATAGTGTTTAATATTTTTGTTGTAAATTCTCAAGAACAAAAACAATGTATAAGTTCACTTTCATCATACATTTAGGTTTTATTACAATTCTAATCATTGTTTTTTAAAAAACATTGCTGGGAAGGTAGTTAAAATAATAACTGTGTCAAGTGAAAAATGTCCTTTTATATTTTGCAGGTATGGAATTTAAACATTGCTGATTTCTATTTTAATATTTATTATATATAACACTTAAAATTTTTCTTTTATTTTGTATTTTTAGAATCAGTGAAAATTCTGCTATTAATAAAATGACAAATTCTAACCTTGCTGTGATATTTGGACAATCTCTCATGCAACCAGCACCCTATTCAGATCAAAGCTCAGTTGAGATGGCCTCTTTCTTAAATGCTCATCTGCAGAATGATGTTCTTGAATACATCATGAATCTTCAATGCAGTGGTGTTTTTCTGACCAAAGTATATTAAATATGAATGAAACTAATTTAACTATGAGAAATTTGGTTAGATACATAGTTTGCTTATTTTAAAATATATATTTCATTCATTGTTTATTATTTATGCAACATTTTTTTGTCAATATTTCATATTAAAAATGTTATTGAATATTTTTTAAAAGTTTTAAATTCAATAAAAATTATATATACATAAAAAGTGAAGAAATTCCACAAAACATACTTGTAGATATGTTTTTTAAGATAAGACTATTGATCACTGTAAAAGTAATTATGATTTTTACCACCTTTTTATGGAAAATGCTGTGGATATAATTTTTTTAGTTCTTTAGTATTTTCTTTTCCTTATATAATAAAAAATATTTTATAATTAGACACATCTTTTCAGTGATAAAAATGAAATATTATACACAAAGAAAACTAGTTTATTTACTCTTTATGTCTGAAATAGAATACATAATGTTCCACCAGTATTTTTAAGCATCATATACTTATGGATCTTAATTATGTAGCCAGCATTATCAGTATTTTACCTAATATGCTTTGAAAGCACAAAATCCAAGAGATATTTTATAACTAGAAAGTGTTTTTTCAGAAAACTAAAGTGTTACTGTTATATAAAATTCTCATCTAAATTATTGCAAGTTTTTCATTAGTTTAAATTTGGAAATTGACCTGAATGTTAATTTTCTGGTACTTAAAATTTATTATTTTCAATTCTAGTAGATTTTTGTAATTGCACATTTATGGATCAAGTATTAAGCAGATGGGCACTCACACATAACTATCACGATCTTCTCTGTATGCATTTATGTATAATGTTTTTTAAATGTTTCATCAAAGTGGTTTGTAACAATTGCTTGCAATTAGTTATTAACTCTATTATGTCTGAATGATTGTTTTTCACATCTGTGTCAGCTTTCTCACTCTCTTTCTTGATCTAATACTTAAATAATTCAACTTCTTAACATGATTCATAATAAGAATACACAAAAAATATTAACAATATTGAATATGAACATTTATATATGGCTGTTGCACTGCCAAAGATGAAATGAACATATAAAAGTGAACATTTCTCTTTTTTTGTTCCATAAATGTATAGGATTAAGTTTTGTAAAATGTTTCTGGAGTGATCTTTGAATAGTTTAATACCAAGAAAAATTAATAAAATAATTAGTGATGGCATTTTTATATTTAAGCTTCATTCATCAAGGAAAGACAATTATAGGCTATTAAAATTAACTATTTAGTTGCAATATAAATTTGGTTAATTAAGATCTGTCCCCTATAAAAATTAAGTTGGATTTATTTTACGTAAAAACATTATTGAAACATTCATAATATACTGGAAAACACTGTTCATAATGAAATTGCCAATCTATTTCAAGAAAATAAACTGAAAAAATGCTTATTCATTAAAAATTTAAATAAATTCATTGAAGTTGAAGGTTTTATTCCTGATTAAAGATAATGCTTGAATTCTTAATTGATTAATGTAATTTCAGCAATATGGAAGCTAGCATTTTATTTGAATACTTTATTTCAATCTGGTTTGTATTCATTTTTTTACATTGTCTAAAATCACATTCCAATCATCATGATTGGCATAGTTTCAATTATGGCTTTTCAGCTGAAGCCAGCTAACTTTTCTGATAATTTTACAAATTATATTAACTCTATTTTTAAACATTAATTTCATACAAGGGCACAAAAATTCACTCAATATTTTTGCTTCATTTATTCATGATTTCTGTTTTGAATTCATTCTATTGAATTAATGTAAATTTTTTACTGCATTAAAGCTTTTAAATTCTTCAACAGCTTTCAATTCATTGTTGTTTAATAATTTTGTCCTATCTCCTAATTTTCTAAAGTTTTTCAGCTAAATTTCTTATTCAATAACCCTAAAATGCACAATTTATTCATCACAGCACATTTGTAGCCCAGTGTGAACTCTTGCGAGTATTAGATTTGAAAGTTTTAAGAAAATTATTAGAAATAATAATGGGAAGAAATAAAAATCAACAAATTTATAAAAATCACTAAAAAAAATGACAATAAAATTATAGAAAGCATTTTTTGAACTTTCTTTTTTCTATTTCAGTTAATCTAAACATTTTCTAAAAACAGTTATTTTTTGTTTCAATTAATCTGTTCAAGAGAGTAGTTTATTTTCATGTATTGCAGGAAGGAAAAACTAAGAATTAAAATATTTGTTTGAAAAGTCTTTACATTTTTTTCGAATAGCTTTAATTTATTTTTATAAGGGATTTTGTATTTGTCTATATTTCTGAGATAAGGTATTGTAACAGTTTACACTATTTACATTGTTGTCCTTATCTTTATTGCCACATTCACAATCTTTCAACTGTTGTACGCTTCAGCCTTCTTGAGCTGATATTTGTTGGAATTTTGAACTAGACATTTATAAGTTCAAAAATTTACTCATTTATGTCCCCAAGGACAAAAGGTTGATTGATCCAAAAATAACTTGACCCAAACAGTTGTGAGTTCAATTCCTTGCCACAGCAGAGAGAAAAATAGAAACAACTTCTTGTGTGATGAGTAGTATGGGTATGATCAGCCTGATCCACTGCTAACATACTAATTACCATTACACACAGAATTAGTGAGGCTGTTGGCGAAACACATATTAGAAGGACCATAGCACTAGATATCTCAAAGGTTTGCTACACAGCTATAGAATCACTGGAAGGGTTTTCTCTATTATAAAATCCTTCCTAACAGGTAGATCCCTGAAGATAGTTATTAATGGCCAGTACTCTGAGGTCCTGGCAGTCAATGCAGGCATCCCTCAAGGATCACTTCAAGCCAACCCTCTTTTTAATTTACATAAATGATCTACCTAAGAATATACTCTGATCATTTGTAAATATCTATGCTAATGATACAACAATATACAGCAACACCTCTAAAAGTCTTGAGGATAAGAGATTGGCTGCTGACCTCTGTTCCAATCTAACACTAACTTCCCAGTTGGGGAAAAAATGGCTGGTTACATTCATTGCCTCTAAAACCAAACTGGTTACATTCCATCAGCGCCAATCAGACCCTGAACTAATGCTGGTCATGATTAACAGATGTCCCCTCAATTATATATGTCCCCCTACTTTTATAAGATCAGGTTGAGTACTGTTGTCATATTTGGGCAGAAGCTGCCCAGATCTCACTTTCCAGCTTTGATAGAGATCAAAAGCATCTGTGAATTCTTGTTGGAGAAGAATTATTTTCCACACTCCAAACTCTCTCTTATAGGCGAGATGTATTAGTCTCTCACTGCTCTATTGCTACTACCATGGAAAGTGCTTGCTTCTCCTGGTTTCATCAGGTCTGACCTTCATGCCTAGGACCCACCTTGCCACATAATAGCAAACCGCCTACATTTCTTCCATATTACACCTGTGTGAAGTAAGTTCCACTCAAACATCTTCTTCCTGGGAACCACTGCCCAATGGAACAGACTCCCAAGAAGATGTTTCCCCAATTCCTACAATCTTAATCTGTTCAAATCTAGAGTCAATCATTATCTTCCCCTCCTATCCATATAAACTACCCCTTATCATGACCCTCAACTACTGCAATTCAAACATTTTGATTGCACCATTAACAAAACACAAAAAAATCCCAGAACCAGCTAAATTCCATAATTACTTTACAATGAAGTGTTACAGTGATTGATCACTGGAAAACAGCATCAATTCGGTTGTATAATGGATCAGATGTGTATTTTCTCATAATTAAGATTATCTAACATTCACAGAGGTGTAAGTGGAGAATAAGTTTATGGGGTGTAACAATTCATAGTGATACATTTTTTGTATAAAAACTATCAGTTATTTTATATTTATGTTCTGATATAACTTGCAATGAAAAAAATCTTACTTTTAATTGTACTTGATCAACATTATATGCCTTTACATTCAGACTAGTATACTCATCTTAGTTGTTATACATTCTGTTCGTCAGGTGTTTGTCATTTTTGATGACCTCAGAATTTTGAACTGAAATGTTTATTCAATTAACGGGGAGAGAGTTCCCATTCCACATTTTTATCTCTAGGGGAGATAACTTGTATCAGTTAATATTCTGTAGTCTATTTTCATCTTTTGTGCTGCTTGAATATTTGCCCTTTGTGGACTACCCAGTCCAGTTATTGAACTCACAACTACCAAAAACCAGATATGTTTTAAATAACGAATTAATTCGCTAGACAATGTGTCCAAGTGAAAAGGCATATGTAACAGGGTGATGGTGAGCTTTCACCTGTTAAGGTATGCTCAGAGCTATTAATAGATAAACTTAGAACAATGGCAATACGGTCAGGGTACTAAAAGATGGAACGAGCATGAAGTTTTAATTTAGAAGTGTGTCGGGAAATAGGCCGATCCCGTACCTAATAAAAGTATGTCAGTACGTTGGCACTAGAAAAAGAAATACGTCACCAGTTCTCTATATAAAGAGGCGAGCCAACCGGAAAAAGAGCAGAGTTGGGTTAGAGACAGCGGAGACTCGAGGAGGAGAGGAAGTTACGCCAGAGATTAGAACAAAGCGTCCGCTAACATGTGCTGTTGATATAAGTACGAAGAAGCGAATTACTTCCTCCAACAGCTAAGACTACTACTATTACTACCACTGAGAACGGAATGTCGAACATGCTACAGTAATGAAAAAGGATTAAAACGAAACCACTTCTCTCCTTTAACGAAATTACACGAGTATTTTCTTTTGTTTTGTTGATTATTGTTCATATACAAGAAACATTCAACTTTTTGCCACAAGAAATGTATTATTTATATATATATATATATATATATATATATATATATATATATATATAACTTTTGTCTCTCTAAAATCGGATCGACTTGGCTATATTTATTTGCTGTTAACCCGATTATCACTCAACAAGCTTACACGTAGACCAACGGAAAGCATTCGGAATTCTACGACCCGATAACTACTCTCCAGGATCAAAAATCACAACATGTCTGGTGAGTGGAATCGAATCGACATTTGAAACCTAAGACTTAGGTCTAACCTGTAATACTAGACCATACAGGACCAACGTCTTGTGGATGATGTCGGCCCAGTGGGATTAGGATACGGTGTCACATGGACGCCTTGACCAACTCGCGTTACAACTGTGCGAGGAGAATCGGCTTTACAAAAAGTGAAAAATGAAGAAAAACGAAATGCATTTCGTCATTAGATGAAAAGCACAAAATGATATGTTATGGATATGGTGCCATAGTCGAGTTCGTAAGTGATTTGCTAGGTCCAGAAGTGGACATTTTTATTTGGAGAACCGAGAACACTCCGACAGGCCTGTAGTCGCTGGTTATAAGCAAATCGAAATGTTGATTAAAAATCCAGGTTACATGTTACGGGACAATGCAGAGATACTTCCCATGCTTCATATGAGCGTTGTAAGGCATTGAATAAACGAAACAGATGAATCGCTATGATGTTTGGATGTCCCATGATTTAACAAAAAAAATAATAGACCACATTTCCATCTGAGATTCTCTGTTCAAAAGCAACATGAACAACGATCCACTTTTGAAAAGAATAAACACAACTAAGTAAATCCACCATTGACATAATAAATAGAACATGGATAACGTCGACTTTACTTAAATACTATTCACCCCCAAATCTTTCATTCCTTACGAAAAATCTTGGACAGAAAACTTTACAAACAAAACTTTTGGCTATCAACAAATAAGCATCTGGCTTTCTATTAGCGAACATATTCAGAGCAAGAAAATATTGTGAGTAATTTCACTTAATACCATCTTGCTAACATCCACGCGATACATGTAAGGTGAGAGTGAAGGGGTATAACACGAGGGCATTAATTAATACAAATGTCACTGAATCCATACAAAAGGTAGTGAGGAAGGAAGGGAGCAATTAAAACGCCATATACTTGATTGTCACAACGGCTCATGCTCTGTTAGAGTTGCTCAGATGTGTAGCATAATGAATATTGTCGTGGAAACAAGAATCGGCGAACCAAAAACAAGTTCTAGTCTAGTCTGCGCATTAATACCCTCCACATTAATCTATGAGTCATATAAGCAAAGGTAGACTAGGTTTTTTAGAGTAGAAACCAGTTTAGCAGAAGGAAAACTCTGAATTCAAAACCGTGGAGAAGGTAACGACAAATCACTTCATTACTTTCTACAAGAATTCATGGGAATTAACAATGATGATGATGATGAATATGCTGAAACCCATGGCCGCCCGCGTCCTGAAGGGACATATTAAAATAAGTGTTGTCAGTCAATAAAAAGGTTTTATGTGTTTCCGAAGTTGGAAAAGGGTTTGATTTTGGGGACGTTTGTTGTATGAAGACAAAGGTCCAAATTAGTTCTGACCTTTCCTGTTTAGACTTGACATTGACAAAATCATTCTGAGTACTAAGAAAGTTCAATAAATGATGGTATTGTCGGTTAATGATATCTAATTGCTATTTCGTCGCGTATGCATCAAATAATTACCTCATCTAAATTTCAGTCAGAGTTAGCACTGCTTGAAGGTATGTTTAAAAATTACCTGTCATGTTGGCAAATGTCGTTTCGTACGAATACGGTCTACTGAAAAGTTGGGAAAGAATGTAGGATTAGATGTGAAGATCTAGGTGAGATACATAGAAAAATAGGAAAAGAACAGTGAAAATTAAGAGGGAGAGATACCACAGAAAAAATAAATTAAAATGATCTCGCCTTATTATTGAAGTGAAATAAAGAAGTGATAAAGAATTTCGAGAAGGAATTGGGAAGTACCAAGTACCCATTTTCATGAAAAGATGAAAATGGACACGGGAGCACCCACCTATATAAATGAGACTGTATTGAACGGCGATACTCAAGTAGAGATTAGTGAGGAAAGTGGTTCTGCAAATTATGGAGGGCGGGATTGTGAAAAGATCCCATTACGTCTGGAATTATCCTATTTTAGGAGTGAGAGAAATTTATTGATTCATTTTCTATGGCTAATCAACCCTTTGTAGGTTACTTAAAACCAGAAAGTAGTTTTAGATTGTAAATCTTTTTTTTTTTTTTAAGATAATGACTTAGTGATACAAGTCTTACTAATTAACCCATAGTTGTGAGAAGAAGAGATGGATTCCAAATGGCGTTTGCGCGTGTGAATATAACGAACCCAACTGGAATTGGAACTCGGCTCTCCGATTAACAATTCCGAGCCATCATCCATTCTCACATCCACTCTGACATCCAAACTAACAGCACTTAGTATTCCCAAAAGGTCACCCTTCTAAGTACTGACCAGGCTCAACGTTTTTTAACTTCGGCAATCGTGCGGGAACCAATGTTTCAACGTTAGAGAGAAGGATCAGAAGAGGATGTACATTTTGTGTAGACATTAGGATCTCAAGGTTTTAACGTTTACTTCTTACCGTCAATTGACGATATATCAGCGGTGTTGGGAAGGGCAAATTGTTTCTTCATCCTTCATTTGTGAAGCATTCTCGTCGCATTATTTTCCGGTGGCAAAATCGTTATAAACCCGTTTTCGAGTGCGTGAAAAATATGGGGCATGATTGAGGAATCAAATAATGCCATTAAGATACCGCTCCCATTAGGTGTCATTAAAAAAAATGAAGAAACAGAGAAGTTGAAGTTTCTATCGTTCAAGGAGGGTCCTGATTTTTGTTCATCCTTTCTTCTATAGAGCACTAAAACTTTTCCTTGGGATATCGGCGGCTTCTCCTTCAATAGTATCATACAAATTGAAATAGGTCAAATTTCGACGGGACAGGCGGTGCCCTGTTGGATTTTCTGTTGTATCCTCCTCGTTTCTGGTTTTTTTTGTTTTTTTTTTTACACTTTTGCATTAACTGTCGATTTTTCATATAATTTCTGACATTTTCTATTTTTAACATATTCCAGTATTGTTTACGTTTCTGCAAAACATCTTTGATTTAATTTTTTGGTCTTTTTCTCTTTCTATTTTCTGCGATTTCCATTTTGTACTATACTTTTGTATTTTTTTCTGTCTGGTTCGTCTGTATTTCTCCATTACTTTTTTACATTTCTGCATCTCGGTTGCCTTTTACACATTTGCGTCTTTTTTGTTTATAGGAATTTTTGTTTTGTAAAAAAACGACGAAAAATAGTTCAAACAAATATTTGATGTAACAGACAACACGAACCACTCTTCGTCTAGTCCGAAAATTAACTCCAAGATGAATAACTTAGGGATTTGTTCTGTTTGAGATTTTTGTAGATATTGAATTTCTTTACCAAAAGAGTGGTTCTGCATCAGTTTGAGTAGATACATCTAAGCATCTTGCTTAGGATCTGCATCAGAATATTTTAACTTATTAGTGAATTTGAACACTAATGTTAATAGTCTTAATAATCTAGATAACTTTATAGGTTACAAACTCCTATATTTTGCAGCCAATAAGTGAAGCACAAACGAGTAAGAGACGCCTACATAAATAAATCTTACTAAATTCAATACGTACGAAAACTGTTTTACAATTCTTTACAGAGCTCCTAATTAAATAAGTGGTTCCTGGAAACTCATTTGAAAGGACAAGTCACGTGATGTGCTTTCTCCGACGTCTGCGGGGTTGAACTCCAAATGACCTAGAAAAAGGCCAGTGCTCGGTTTACTGAGTACATTCCCCGCAAAACTAGGATATTGATTCGGAGCCAAGCAACAGCCAACCATAAAAACGGCTCACCAGCAACAGACTAGATCTACGAAAGACAGCGAACCAGGTTATGATCAACAACATAGACACGCGTGTTACGGGTAAGCGACGCGCAAGCTCGTTAATGATTATCATAATGAAAAGAGGAGGGAGAAAACAAATAGATTGTTTGAGAAGTAACTATAACATATCTATCTCTTTCTCTCTTTTCTCCTCTCTTCATTCCTTTCTTCCTTCCTTCATTCATTCATTCATTCGCGGGTCCCTTTCAAGCCAGATGGCGCGTCACCGTAAAACGGATATATGCGGAATCAGATTTAAGATAATTAACGCTGACCCTGCAAAGTGCATGTTCGGGTCAGGCGAACTGTTTCCTGTCCGGTACACGTGTTTTAATAAAAACTTAAAAAGAAAATTCAGATCACAGTTTATATCTTTTGTGTATAGAGAGAAAAAGCAGTAATTTGATAACCAGAATGATTTCGTAGACAAAATAAAGAATTAACTTTGAACTGCTAATGAACTGATTTTCTTTCATAATAGGATTAAGACAATCAGCGAGATGAAGCCATTGAACTTCATTTAATAATGTGAAAAGAGGAGTTCGAACTATTTACTTCTGAAATGCCTGAAAAATAACTCCCCTATACTCTGAGTTTCCAGTTTTTTTTTTCAGTTTAGAGACGCTTAATAAGTTGAAGGAAAGTTTAGGCACATATAAAGTCTCGTATAGATAGCATCCTCGCTGGTTTTTGTTTGGTAATTTTAATGACATTTCAATAGTTCTCTTTCCAAGGGCTTCCAACCAAGTTGCCATCCCCAAGAGTTATCTCTTGTGCTACATCAAAACTTTCAATATCCATAAATCTTTCGGCATCATTACACATGTGATAAGTCGCCCCTGAGTCAACAATCCAGTTCGTCTCTTTCTTAATTGTGAATAGAGCACTAGGCGCCACTATTCCAATATACTCGTCGTTCTCAATGTTGTCCGAATTTCCCTTTGAATTCGTTGTTTCTAACATTTTCGCCCCAGCCCCTCAACCTCCGACGTCTTACTCTCTGGGTTAAGGTGTCTACTCGGTCCTAAGGGAGTAGCCGTAGGCCTCCTGAGCATCCGTAGATGCTCAGGAGGCCTACGTAATTCTGGCTTCGTAATTCTGCTTCCTGCCCACGTTGTGTTTGGTTTGATTCAGAAAGCAGAAGTGATGTTCATCCATTCACGGTCGACTGAAGATGTAGACACGGCTGGAGAGTCTGTGCTAAGAAATTTAGAATGCAGCAAAAAAAAAAAAAAATTGTTAATGTCTTTTATATAGCAGAAAAGAATAGTATAGAAAAGAAACGGGTTACAGAAAAGAAAAGTAATTGATGTAAAAACGCATACACTGGATTCTAGAGAGAGAGAGAGAGAGAGAGAGAGAGAGAGAGAGAGAGAGAGAGGGGGTGTTATGATTAACTTGTTAAATCGTCTCAGAACGATATACGACTCTTGCGATGGAGAAATAAGATTTCTGTACATGTCTTAAAGTTCATAGTTGCGTTCCTCCTTAGCAGTAGTAACAGTAGTAGTAATAGTCGTGGTAGCAGAGCAGCGGTACTTATATCAACAGCACATGTTACCGGACGCTTCGTTCCCATCTCTGACGTCACGTTCTTTCCTTCTTGTGTCTCTCTCTTCCGTCTTAACGCTTGTCCGTCTGTGTCCCGTCTGCCTTTTTCAGCATAACTACGCGTTTATATAGAAAAATCCGGCTGGTTATAACTGAACCTTGGTCGCCCGTGATTATAACGGTGTTTTGGCTGTTTCAACCAAAATCATGTGCATTCAAAAGGTCTTTCTAGCTTACTCAGCTCTATTTCAATTTTTAATCGATAAAAATTATTTCCATTGTCTTCTGATGACCCAGATTCAATGGGTACAACTTCTGGCCTAGATCATATTTCCACATCAGCAAACAAAATGCTCTGACTTAATTTCACTATTCAAAATCTATTCCAAGTTTTAATCAATAAGAATTATTTCGACCATTTCCATTGTCTTCTAATGACCCACTTCCAATGGGTACAGCTCGTGCCCTAGATCAGATTTCCTATCAGTAAACGAAATTGCTCTGATTTAATTTCGCTGTTCAAATCCATTCCAATTTCACTAAAAAAAAAAAAAAATGTGTGTGTGTTTTTCAGACTCTCTCTCCGTCACATGTTGCACGAGTACCTTTTAGTGTTGTAGTTCTTTTTAAACGAAGTCTCTTTTCTTTCGGAATTCACGACAGTAAAGTTTTAAGTGTCCATATTTTCCGCACTGAAAACACTTCGGTCCTCTTCATTGTTGACTTATATGATGTGTCGTCATAGCTTTCGTTTCGTTGCTATTAACCTCCTTTTGTTTAATTTTTGTCTCTTCGTAAAATAGACGTTCCGTTACAATTTCCCAACGTGGAACCCCCGCATTAGTTTCTAACGCTGTCACCAACATATTGAATGAATCAGGCAGGCTTACTAGGAGATATATAACCCGGTCTTCTTCTACAATTTCCCCTATAACACATAATTCTTCAAACAATTCTGTCATCGTTTTGATATGGCCCTGAACGGGATTTCCTTTAAGAGAAAATAGTCTCCTTCTCAACGTTAATTTGTTTACCCAAGTCTTCTTCTGAAACTGGTCGGCTAACTTTTTCCATAAAATTGTAGGGTCAATATGGTCTCCTATTATATATAGTAGTGACGGATCAACAGACAAGACAATCGTAGCTAAAGCATGATCCTATTTTCCGTATGCATTAGTCTCCGTAGGAACATATTCCGTTTCATTCCCGATACTCCACAAGCCATCTTTGATTAGTGCCATTTTACATTGTATTTTCCAGGTGGCATAATTTGCCCCATTCAGTGGTACACTGTTTAATTTAGTTTCCATAGTTGCTGTTAACAGAAAACAATTTCCGAAAAACAGTAAAAACAAGATGTCTGACTTCTGACACGTAGCGGTCGGTAGCCTGGCCTCATAAACAATGTTGAAAAAATAGTCAGTGGGAACACCACATTATAATATAGAATGAATGAATGAAAAACGTCCTACCTTAACTTTTCGTGGTTACAGAACAAACAACATTCATACAAGAAGCAATAACAAACGAGACATCGTTATGTTTTTAGAACACGGTAATTAATCTATTTATTCAGCATGGCTCTCTTACAACAACTGAAGAAAAAGGAGGGAAGATTAACAAAAAGGTTCATGCGCCCTCTACAATTTGAAAAACAAATGTCCAAGGTCCAAGGGAAATAACTAATCCCTTATTTATTAATTTTGTTTTATTTTAAATATTTGCAAAGAGTGCAATTTTCAACAATTTTCGCCAAAGGAACTCCGGTCATTATATTTAACATGCACCGCATTCCATCACACGACTATGTCTATATCTCTCTCTTTCTTTCATTCGTGGTTGTTCTCTTATTAAAATTTTGTTTAACTCGTTCGTGTCATAATTTCGTATATCGGATCGTTCTGTCCTGGCAGACCATCCAATCCTTTTTTCTGAATTCATCACTTCATCGGACAAAAATATAAATTCATTTATAAAAAGAAATATTGTTAGGATATAGGCAGCATGTATAATATTCGTGACATAAATTGGAGGCTAGTCCGGGATAAATGTGTCACTTAAGGAATTTACACGAAATACCAGTGAAAATAAGAATGGCAACAGTGGAGGAATTTCTAAGAAACCCATATGTAGAACAGCTACTAGAATTGAAAAAAGATGATGCATTCCTAGTGGGGCAGAATCCAACTAGATGACAGAAGGGGCTATGAGAAAGGCTTGTGGTGATCACTTACATGTGCCACACCTCCGCTTTCTTTAATGTCATTGGTTCATAAATATATGATACTTATTATATGACAATTTTGCCATCGCACGTCATTTGAATTTTTCTCTAAAATCACGGATTGGTCCATTTCCTGACCAATCGCGTATTTTAATATCTTTCTATATTTTTGGCGACAAGCTCACTGGAGCCTATGCATAACTATAAAAACCCTCTCGCTGTTAGCCAACAACCAGAGTAGCAGTTCAATTCTTGTAAAATACGGCACGGCTCTATATTGACATTTTAATTCTTAATTATTACTCATTCGAGTAATCCAACTAATTTCTATTGATAACACTCGTGAACTACATCTTACCACACTCATAAAAGACTGAAATTATTCTTTATTTAGCTAAAACCTCAATTGAACTTTGTAGTTAAATAACATTCAACATTGTACTCAACATTAATTAGCTAAACTTACCCTTTTTATTACGGAAAAAGAGAAGCAACTTTCTTTATACTTATTGTGGAAATTTGTATATCATTGTTAATACAATATTTTATTAATGTTCACTGAGCTTGATTATTTTTCTCTCGTGTATGTTGTGCATTATTCATGTGGGGTGTTGATTTACAAGAACACAGCTTTCCTTCTTGATTATATTCACGGTGACCCTACCCAACAATTCTTACAGCACCACAACAATTAGTAACCCCGACGTACCTACTACATTTGGTAACCCCGATGTAGGAACTACAATTGGTAACCCCGACGTACCTACTACATTTGTTAACCCCGACGTAGGAACTAATTTCTGTACAGCATTGGTATCTACGACGTCTCGGAACCTTATACCAACCACATTTGGACGACTCACCGATCCAATTTATTGAGAGATATTACTTCGCACCGAAACACCACGTGTTATTCATAATGGCTGAACAGTCTGCACAAGTGACAGCCGTTGTGCTGACCCTCCCAACTTTTTACATGACTAATGTAAACGTGTGGTTCGCCCAGACTGAAGCCATATTCCAAGCAAAGCATATTCACTTTCAGACTGCGCGTTACGCGTACATAGTCGAGAAGCTGCCACCAGAGATCGCTGCTGACGTGCTAGACCTTTTCGAAGCCGTTCCCACTCAAAACCCCTTTGATATACTAAAGGAAGCCATCATCTACCGTACTGGGAAATCGCATGAGCGCAGGTTGCACGATCTATTTAATACTATACAGCTCGGAGATAGCCGCCCGTCGCAGTTGCTTAGACGTATTAAGAATCTATGTCGGAATCACTATTCCGCAAACTTTGGCTGGACAAGCTACCGCCATACACTTCACAGATTCTGGCTAGGCTACCCGATGACTTGGATCTCTCGAGGATTGCTGAGATCGCTGATAAAATTAATGACGTATCCACCATCAGCAGCGTGGACTCCCCTGTACCCACTGACGCTGCTATGATGGATGTAATAGAACAGCTGAAACAGCAACTTGAGAGGCTTTCCACTCAGTTGCAGCATCTTACCAGAGCAGAGGATAAAAACTCATACAAGGTACGGCGACGCTCTCATTCTGCTACTCGCGCTCGCCGACCTATGCTATGCTGGTACCATCTTAACTATGGTGATAGAGCCCACAGATGCATTAAGCCTTGTACCTTCAAGTGCCAACCTTCACCCAAGGCATCACGGAAGGCGGGAAACGCCGATCCCAGCAGCACTTGAAGGCGGCATCTGCTGTTGGGACTCATATTACTAACCGTCTTTTCTATATAAAGGACAGGAATTCTAACATGTCATTCCTGATAGATACAAGAGCACAGCTTAGTGTTGTTCCACCATCACCCAACTTCACTAAGACTAATTCTTCAGTCACATTACGCGCCGCTAATGGCACGAACATCAAGACGTTTGGCGAACAATCGTTAACACTGGATATTGGAGTTAGAAGGACATATCAATGGATATTCACCGTTGTAGACGTGAAATTCCTCATTTTAGGTGCCGACTTTTTGGCACATTATCAACTCATCGTGGACCTCTCACAGCGTCAGTTATCTGACTCCACCACGAAGCTATCTAACCGCGGAATTGTATCACAGCTAACATCTACAGAATTACGCATCGCTGTGCCGCGTGATAATCCAATATTTTGGATAAATTTCCATCGTTGATACAGGCTTTTACTTATACAGAGCCTGTCAAGCACAGCACTGTACACAGGATTCGAACTACCGAACAGCCTGTCTATTCTAAACCTCGCCGTCTTGCGCCGGACAAATACAAGATTGCCCGGGCCGAGTTCCAACACATGCTCGACCTCGGGATTATTCGCCCCTCCTCGAGTCCATATGCCTCACCGCTTCACATGGTCACTAAGGCTCAGCAGGGCGCCTGGAGGCCGTGTGGCGACTATAGACGACTGAATTCACAAACGGTACCCGATAAGTACCCAGTTCCCAATTTGACCGACTTTGCAGGGAGCAACTGTCTTCACCAAACTGGATCTGCGCAAAGCCTTTCATCAGATCCCAGTCGCTGACGAAGATATTCCCCAAACTGCGATTACCACGCCGTTTGGTTTATTCGAATTTCTGCGTATGCCTTTTGGACTGCGCAACGCAGCTCAATCATTCCAACGCCTTATAGATGAGGCACTTCGTGGACTATCTTTCACTTTCGCATACATCGATAATCTTCTAATAGCTAGCCCTAATTTACAGAAGCATCGTAAACATATTCAGCAAGTCTTTGATCGTCTTCAGAACTTTGGCTTAAAAATCAACCCAGAGAAGTGCGAGTTTGCGGTTTCGCAACTCCACTTTCTCGGTTTCGTCATTGATGCTACAGGTGTTACTCCCCTGCCTGAAAGGATACGTGCTATCCAGGAATTTCCGAAGCCCTCCACGCTTTGACAGCTTCGCAGATATATTGGCTTAATCAATTATTATCGTCAATTCATCCCACGTTGTTCACAAATTCTTGCACCCCTGACGAATATCCTTCGCGGGCAAGACCGTAAAAATACTCCTATTTGTTGGAACAACGACACAACGCAAGCATTTGACAACTCTCGTAAAGCATTGGTCAACTTTACGAAACTTTCATGCCTCACTGACGGTGGTACCACTCAGCTATCATTAACGACTGACGTATCTTCTGACGCCATAGGCGCAGATTTACACCAACATGTTGACGCTAAATCTTTGCCAATTTCCTTCTTCGTTAAGTTGACGTTCACACAGAAGAAGTATAGTACCTTTTCAAGGGAACTTTTAGCTATATACTTGTCAATTAAGTATTTCAAACACCTTTTAGAGGGTAGACACTTTGGGATCTACACAGATCACAAGCTCTTCACTTTTGCCCTTTCAACTAAATCAGGCAAGTACAATCCTCGGGACTACAGATATCTTGATTATATATCCCAGTTTACATCAGATATACGTCACATTAAAGGAAAGGATAACATTGCTGCCGATACACTTTCCAGAGCATCCTTGTGTGGAAGCCTGCAAGATACTTTAGACATGGAAAATATCGCGGATGAACAAGTACGGGAGATAACTTTGCTCGACTCACTTCGAAATTCGTCACTACATATTGAGCATCATCCCTTGCCCTTTACTGATAAGCTTATCGCATGCGACACCAGTCTACGTAATCCTCGACCCGTCGTCCCAACCAACATGCGGCGACGAATATTCGACCACTTTCATTCGTTGTCCCACCCTGATCGTAAAGCTACACTTAGGTTAATTGCAGACCGTTTCGTCTGGCCTAAGATGCGTAAAGACATTACTCGCTATACTCAATCTTGTGTTGTTTGTCAACAAAACAAGATCCAGAGACACACTAAGTCACCAGTTGGTCGTTTTGTTGCCCCTGATGGTCGTTTCCGACATCTACATGCGGACCTAGTGGGTCCCTTATTCGGGGATGTCAATACATTTTGACAATTATAGATAGATTTACGAGATGGCCGGTTGCCGTCCCACTCAACAGCACTACCGCTGAATCCGTGGCGCGAGCCATTTCAACATTAGATTTCCATTTACGGATGCCCCTCGATCATTACCACTGATCGAGGACCGCAGTTCCAATCTCAGCTATTCACGGAATTTACTAACTTATTTGGAGTTCGCCATATATCAACAACTGCTTACCACCCATGTTCCAATGGCCTAGTTCCACCGCCAACTTAAGGCTGCTTTGACCAGCATAGGCACTACTAACCGATCTTCTTGGATAGACCTTTTGTCTTAATTTCACTTCGCACACAAGTTAAAGAAGATCTGAAATGCTCGCCTGCTGATCTAGTTTTCGGACAACAGCTGGTACTACCAGGTCAATATTTTTCCGTAACATCTACACAAGAACCTTCATCCAGTTTTATCACCTATTTTCGAAAGAAAATATCTTCTCTTGCTTTTACTCCAACCCGTTAAACTTCAGGTGACGTTTATGTGCCTCCTTCCTTACTGGAATGCGAGTACGTTTTTGTACGACAGGATTCTGTTAGAAAGCCACTGACACCACATTATGCGGGTCCATTTCGTGTCCTTGCCCGGACCGATAAATATTATACTCTACATAATAACCACGGCCGATCGACTTTCTCTATCGATCGCCTAAAACCTGCATGTATTGAACGCGATGGATCAACCAATCAACCTACGAGCCCTTCGCTAGACATCCCTCAGTTTCGTCACCAGCACCTACTAGGACTGCTAGCGGACGTACCGTCCACTGGCCTAGGAAGTTCAGAACTTTCATTACATATTGAAAACTCTTTTTTCCCTGACTTTTCAAACTTGACGAGGTATTGTGGTGATCACTTACATGTGCCACACCTCCGCTTTCTTTAATGTCATTGGTTCATAAATATATGATACTTATTATATGACAATTTTGCCATCGCACGTCATTTGAATTTTTCTCTAAAATCACGGATTGGTCCATTTCCTGACCAATCGCGTATTTTAATATCTTTCTATATTTTTGGCGACAAGCTCACTGGAGCCTATGCATAACTATAAAAACCCTCTCGCTGTTAGCCAACAACCAGAGTAGCAGTTCAATTCTTGGAAAATACGGCACGGCTCTATATTGACATTTTAATTCTTAATTATTACTCATTCGAGTAATCCAACTAATTTCTATTGATAACACTCGTGAACTACATCTTACCACACTCATAACAGACTGGAAATTATTCTTTATTTAGCTAAAACCTCAATTGAACTTTGTAGTTAAATAACATTCAATATTGTACTCAACATTAATTAGCTAAACTTACCCTTTTTATTACGGAAAAAGAGAAGCAACTTTCTTTATACTTATTGTGGAAATTTGTATATCATTGTTAATACAATATTTTATTAATGTTCACTGAGCTTGATTATTTTTCTCTCGTGCATTATTCATGTGGGGTGTTGATTTACAAGAACACAGCTTTCCTCCTTGATTATATTCACGGTGACCCTAGTCAACAATTCTTACAGCACCACTACAGGCTAACATAATTAAAATAACAGCAGAGCAACGACAACGACATATTTGAGGAAGATATACTTGAACAATTACAAGTAGAAACTCATGAATTGACGTCGACATAAATCAAATTAGAATAGGCAAGAATTATAACCAGAAAAGAGATCAAGCAGGAAACCAGGCGATTAGAACTTGAATTGCAAGAAAGAAATCATGAATCGAAAATTAGAGAGTTTGTCCTGGCAAAGCAAGTTTGGTTAATACCAAAATTTCTGGAAGAAGAGGCCTATGAGTATTTTCAGCATTTCGAGAAAACTGCGATAAATCTGGAATGGCCGAAACACATGTGGACGATGCTGTCTCAAATTTAAAGTTTTGTTTAAACCTTTCAAGAGACAATCCCTAGGTAATTAAATCAACAGGATTTTCTGTGGAAGGCATGTATTTGAATTTTATTGATAACCCATGTTTAGAATCCAACACTTCTAGGGCTACTTTAATCTTTTTATTTATTCTTGAAAAATTGGCTTTCGTTTTTTATGTTATCAAACAATAACCAAGATAACACTAACTGAGCATCAAAAGCAATAAATACATCTTTGATACAAACATTTGGTAAAGGTTTCAAGATGTTCTTACTGCATTTCCCAGCTAAGTACACAGACAATAACTCAAGTGAAGGCAAAGACTTTATTTTTATGGTCGCTAACTTAGCCTTAGAAAAATATTAAAGAGTCTTAAGAGGCTATGGAATCCTGTCTCATATAAGAGGCAAAACCGTATGCCCTTTTGGAGGCATCACAAAATAAGTACAATTTTGCAGGAATTGAACTGACAACTTCACATCTGGGAAATTTCAAAGAACTTAAATGTACAAGCTCCTTAGATAAATTATTCCAGATGTTTTGGTATACTATTGGTATAATTTCATCCCAGGATTATTTTAATTTCCACAAGTCACTGAGAAGTATTCTTCCTTTAATTATCAGTAGCAAAGAAAGACAAGAGATCAAACACATTAGAATTTTGAGACAGTATTTTTCTTTTTGTGTTGGTAGATTAATCTAAAACTTCCATTGAAATTTCTAAAGTATCTCAGACGCTATTATATTTATATTCTAACATTATTTCTAAGTCACTACCATGTTCTACAAATTTTTAACGTCTCCTAGACATTCCTTGCAATTTGACTTACACGAACGCAACTCAAAATTTCCATCGGCCATTCTTTTCATGGATTTTATGCAAGTATAATAATTCTTCAGGGGAATTGGATAAAAAAATCATTATAAAGGGACTTGCTATAAAACCAAAGATCAAAGCTGTATGTCTATAGCAAACCAAACTTTCATCTTCTTTAAAAAAACGAAACTTATTTCTATCATTTTTATTTCTTAAACTCGGCTCGTGTCATCTGTCCTTGTGTGCCCATATAAATTAAATGTTACTTTAAAAACATCTGTTTGAACAAACTTTTTCGTAGTTTTTTTCACCAAATAAAAAATTCACACTTTTGCACAAATTAATTTGTTGACTGTTACACTTCAGCAGAATTGAATTATATGGAAATCGGAGCTGTGGCTGTTTATTCGGATAATGAAAATTTATAGGTACCTCTATGAAATTGCTAAAAAAAAAAGATGATGCAATGATGATAGCATGATGAAAAAGATGTCAAGCTTGACGAAAATTTTATCGTGTAAATGTTTATGTTATTATTAAAAGAAAAAAAACAAAGTTTTTTTTATTTTAAAAAATTATCCTTCTTTTTAGAAAAATTCTAACTTTTGATTAAAAAAAACAACCTTGTTTCTCTTTGTATCAGCAGAACTACAATTTTGTACATAAAATTTTAGTGCGTTTTTTTGTATGACAGAAATTAATTTGGAAAATTTTCCAAAATAAAAATAATTGTCGGATGTTAATGAAACTTTCAGAAACTATTCACAAATGATAGAAATTATTATAAATATGTTTTCTTTTTTTTAAAATCATGGCAATTTTTTAAAAATATTTATTACACCCCATAACTAATTTTATGAAAACTCTAAAAATTCAATATTGGTCAGTTTAGTGATTATATTAGTTAAAAGCACAAGGCTTTGAGGAAAACAAATCATGTTTTTTGTTTGAAAATCAGCTCTGAATTGGAACATACAAAACTCAATAAAACAAAGATATTATTTAATTTAAAATGCTTTTATTTGCTTTTAGTTGTTTTTATGAATATGAATAATATTATCTGAAAGCAAAAAACTTTTTTGATGAAAAATGAATTTTTAAAACAATTATTTGTTATTTCTTAAATTATTTTATTATTTTTACATTAAAGTTGTTTTACATTCAAGTTGTTAAATATAAAATTAGTGAAAACAGTGTTCAGTTTAGTCAATGGTTTTATTAAGTAGATCTATCTTTTAGCATTATAAGTTTATAACTATCAGAAAGGCCATAATGTATATATATATATAAAAACTAATTTCAGATGGCTTTTGTGTCCATAAAACAGCTGTAATTCAAATGTACGGAAGACCAGCAAGAATACTATTAAAGGCCGCGTTAAACGTTGTTCTCCGTTGTTACGGCCTTTATTTTTGCGAATTGTTTGTGTGAAACACGTGTGGGGAAGTTAATTTGTTTTTTTCAATTCAACTGAGAAGGGTACTTTACAGTATTAGTATCATCTTATGAAATTTATGTGATCTTATTTTTATATTATCTCAGTTATGACATTTTTCCATAAATGAGATATCAAATTAATAATAAAATGAATGGAAATACAAATAACACTGTAAAATGTAATAAATGTACATAAGATTATAGTATTTTATGTACACTTCTGATAAAATTTTATAAGAAAGGTACCTATAAATTAATTAAATACCTTTCTTATGAAATAGTCTTTCAACAGTCTTATTTTAATTTTTTTTATAATATATTTTCCATAAATCATCGTAAACGTAAGCTACGCTAAGTACAAAAAAAAAAAATTTTCCTTATAAACAACGAGGTAAATAATTTGGTTCACTTAAAAGTAAATAATTATGTCACTTCTGCCCTCCCGTGCGTTAACTTTCCCTTACGTAAGCTGTCAATACGTGATGAAATCATCAATCATCACTCATGAATTGACATCAAATGTTAAGACTTGTCTTATTTTTAAACTACATTTTTTCGGCGCAGAAAGTAAGTAATGTTTGTTTCAAAAAATCAATAATTTCTAAGTTTCTTAAAATAAATTTTGAAAAAATATAATTGATTTTTAAAAGAATTTGAAACGGAGATTTTCATTTTGTTTATAAAATGGAAAAAATGATCGATTATCTGTCATGGTCGATTATCTGTCAATTTTCCTGACTCAAAAAAATGAAACAAGATTTTTAACGAAAATTTCGGACGTGCTCGGAACGATTAAAAATGTAAAAAAAATACACCCAGAATACTTTGATCTTACCTCTTAATAACAACATAAACATTTACTCAGACAATAAAAAATTATTTTCATCACGTTTAAGGCCCTTTTTATTCATATTTATGCTCGTTATCGAATGTTTTCAAGCACCAAATTACTTTTTAAAATAACGTGTTTTAAGGTATCTAAAGGGATTGAAATTCGCTTAATTTTGTGACACTTTCAACTGTATTCTCCTCGTTTCCCTAAGTTTGTAAAAAAGATTTTTAATATAACTTTGTATAAATTGTAGAAACCTGTTAAAATCAATTGTTTTCAATCAAAGACAAATCGATTTTCAGCAATTTTAGGGGTTTCCGAATTTTTTCAAAGACCAAATTGCTTTTAAATTTAACTTGGCATCTACAGCAAGTACATTTTCTATGTATTCATAAGTTTTTGAAAACAATTTTTAAAAAATATAACTTTGTGTAAAATGTCGAAAATCGATTGTTTTCGATCGAAAATAAATCGATTTTCAATCATTTTAGGTCTTCAAATATTTTCAAAAACCAAATTACATTTAAAAATGTTTAAGGTTTAAATTTAAGGTATAAAATTTAATTCAAATTCGCTTAAATTGCGTGAATTTCAACTCTGTTTTCCATATTTTCATAAGTTTGTAAAAAACAATTTTTTTAATATAACTTCATGTAAGTTGTAGAAACTTGTTAAAATCTATAAAAACAATTTGCGTACTCTTGGAAATTCTAGAAAATTTCATAAAATTTATTTATGGTGTGTGTGTGTGTGGGGGGGGTAACAGTTGTAAAAAATATTTTTACCGAGATTTTCTAAAAATAAAAATTTCAAAAATAAATTCGTTCATTTTTGAATAAGTCCTGAAAGTTTCATTAAAACCAGACAATTATTTGATTTTTGCAAGAATTTTCAAATTAATGGGTTTCCCCCTGAAACTGCTAC